ATAGAATAGAATAGAATAGAATAGAATAGAATAGAATAGAATAGAATTCTTTATTGGCCAAGTGTGATTGGACACACAAGGGATTTGTCTTTGTGCAGATGCTTTCAGTATACATATAAAGAAAAGATACATTCATCAAGAGTCAAGAACCATAAGGTACAACACTTAATAATAGCCATAAGGTACAATAAGCAATCAAATCATACTAGGAAACAGTCAATATAAAGATGCAAGTGACAAAGTTACAGTCATACAGTCACAAGTGGGAGGGGATGGGTGATAAGAAGTGATGAGAAGGTTAATAGTAATAGCAGTGCAGACATTGTAAATAGTTGGACAGAGTTGAACAAATTATTTGTTTAGCAGAGTGATGGCATTTGGGGAAAAACCTGTTCTTGTGTCTAGTTGTTCTGCTGTGCAGTGCTCTATAACGTTGTTTTGAGGGAAGGGGTTGAAATAGTTTATGTCCGGGATGTGAGGGGTCTGTAAATATTTTCACAGCCCTCTTTTTGACTTGTGCAGTATACAGGTCGTCAATTGAAGGCAGGTTGGTAGTAATTGTTTTTTCTGCAGTCCTAATTATCCTCTGAAGTCTGTGTCTGTCCTGTTGGGTTGTAGAACTAAACCAGACAGTTATAGAGGTGTAGATGACAGACTCAATAATTCCTCTGTAGAACTGGATCAGCAGCTTTTTGGGCAGTTTGAGCTTTCTGAGTTGGCGCAGAAAGAACATGCTTTGTTGTGCTTTTTTGATGACATTTTTGATGTTAGGTGTCCATTTTAGGCCATGTGATATAGTAGAACCTAGAAACTTGAAGGTCTCTACTGTTGATACTGTGTTGTCTAATATTGTAAGAGGTGGTAGTATGGGAGGGTTTATTCTAAAGTCTACCACCATTTCTACAATGTTGAGTGTGTTCAGTTCCAGATTGTTCCGGTCACACCACGAAGCAACTGGAGTTTTTTTAGTTTTTTCCCTTGAAAACATTTCTATTCTCATCTAAGGAGTTTCAGAACTAAAGAAGCTTCTTGGATGAAAAGTAAAATATTTTCAAGAAGAAAAAAACCTAAGAAAGTCCAGTTGTCTTTTGGAAAAAAATCTTTAGGACATTAATGTAGAACTTAAATCTAGAAAAGAATAGTTTGAAATTTCAGAAGAGAAGATACCCCGATAAGCAATATATAGCTGAATCAGTGAGATGACCACCATGTTTTGGATAGGCTTCCAATTAAGCAAAGCTAACCTTAAACTAAAGATCACTATTCATTCCTTACTATTCTCTCCCTCTCCCTCTCCCTCCCTCCCTCCCTCAGCTTTGGAAGCCATATTGAGATCTGATGCTCCCACGCTGCCACATCTGCCTGGGAAAGTGGGAGGGGAGAATATATTGGAGTATATCTAGTTATACATAATAACATTCTTTTTCTGATTCAAGGTCAAGTTGTGTTGCGCATAAGTGAGAGGTCTTAACTTGGGACGGATGGTGATTGGGCCATGTGATATGATGATGGGTGCAAGGGATGGATTTTGTAGTTTTTACTTATTGCAAGCAAGCCCGGAACTTTCAGATTCAGGATTCCCCATTTGTGCCAGTTACTATCCAAATAAAAAGGAACCTTTGAGAAGATGTCTGTCTCGGGAGTTATTGGGCAGAATGGAGTGTTGCTGGAACACTGACCCTCTCTCTCTCTCTCTTGAAGTAAATTCATTTCTTGGATGTTCTTCTTCTCTCTGCTTAGCCATTGCCTCCTTCCAGGTGTGTAGAAAGCTGTCGTCCTGGATTTGTGAAGGTAGCTCGGGAAGGAGAGCCCATTTGCTGCTACAACTGTTTTCGATGTGCAGAAGGAACCATCTCAGTTAGGGAAGGTGGGTGACATTAGAGAAAACAGGCAAATCTTGAGGAATGCCATCCACCAACATTCTCCATGGAAAGCTATACAAAGGGAATTCTAAGCTTGGTTCTTTTCTTGTCAATATTTTAAAAAGAACATGAAGAATTTATTTCACAATATTGGATACTAAAAAAGGAAGAGATGGCATTGGATGTTAAACTTGGGCAGTACATAAAAAATATCATGGGACAAAGAAAAGGTAGCACACTGGTTAGAGTTTGCCCACTGCCAGGAGTTTGATCCCGATGGGATCCAAGTCCTTTTTTACTCAGTAAAAGAGGTGGAGTGGCTCAGTGACTTAAAGATTCTGGAGATGATCTTTGCTCTGGTGATTCGAGTCCTAGCATCATGTGGAAGAGAGAGTTCCTGTTGCTTGCGTAAGCTTCTGCCCACCTAGCAGTTTGAATGTATGCTACATGTGACTAGGTCAATAGATACCACTTTGGTGAGAAACATGGCAGTGTTTCATGCAGATGGTCAGATCCATGCTGGTGCTGGACCATCCTGGATGCAACACTCACCTGCCAGGTGACATCAGTGATGAGAGAAGGCCTTGGTGTCAGGGTTCCAACAGATACCCTAATTAATTCATGTGCCTCGAGCCAAGTTTCAAAAGAAATCCAATTATTTATTAGGAGCAACATGTCGGTACTTTCCAGAGTGCATTCGGCTCTGCCCCACGTAATTTACTGTCCACCTTTGACCCTGTTTCCCCCTCCTCCCAGGGTGTGTCATAAATCACATTCTCCAAAGGAGCACTTTCAAGGGCTGTAGAAAAAACACCTCTCCAGTTGGTCCTGGTAACCTGGGATACAATCTGGAGAAAAGTATGTGTGGAATGTATTTCTGGTCATAGCAACCGAGCTGCTCCATCAATTCTCCCACCCTCCTTCCTATGGCAACTCAAGAGCAGGCCAGGAATGCTTTACCAGTTGACACTTAGATGATGAATCTTGTCCTTCTGGTGCAGAACTACTCTGCCTCCTGTGGTGCATCCTGGATAGCGCATAAGTGCAAACTATATGGACTAGCACTCTTCAACAGTCAAATAACTACTTTGTACTAATACTGTAGTGTCCTGATTAGTTGTACCTTTGCCATATGCTTTCTGAAAATCTCTTTCCACTTCAAAAGAGAAAGATTCCTTCTAAGGGCATGGAGAAAAGAGGAAGTGCATCTCCATTCCATGCCCTTTCCAGAATCATTGGCCATCAGCATCCAAAATTTTTATTTTGCTTCCTAGATATTTTAAGGCCTTTCGCCACATACATGAATTCGTATTATCACTTCTGTCTTTTCAATCTTTCAATATAACCTCTCACCCAAACAATACATTTCGTATAACTGTAATGGTCTTTATTTTCTTTCTTTATGTTATTGATGTTCCTTATAGATGCAGAAACTTGTACCAAATGTCCAGAAGCTCAGCATCCAAATATAAACCAAGATCGTTGCATCTCCAAGGTTATAACCTTCTTATCCTATAAAGACTCTTTGGGAATTGTCCTAGCAACCATTGCCCTCTTCTTGTCACTAATCACCAGCTTTGTTTTAGTAATCTTCATTAAATTCTTAGAAACTCCAATTGTCAAAGCAAACAACCAGGACCTTTCCTTCATCCTCCTGATCTCACTCCTGCTTTCCTTCTTGACCCCCTTCCTCTTCATCGGTCAGCCAACCAAACCAACCTGTCTCCTGCAACAAATGGTCTTCAGCATCATCTTCTCAACTGCCATCTCTTCTGTCCTAGCAAAGACAATCACAGTAGTAGTGGCCTTCTTGGCCACAAAACCAGGGAATAAACTGAAGAAATGGCTAGGAAAGAGCTTGGCCAACTCCATCATTCTTTCTTGTTCCAATGTCCAGGTTTTCATTTGCATCAGCTGGCTGGCCACTTCTGCCCCATTCCCTGACTCTGACCCACACTCTCAACCTGGAGAGATCATCCTGCAATGCAATGAAGGCTCTGCTACCATGTTTTATGTTGCTCTTAGCTACATGGGCTTCTTGGCTGTTGTCTGCTTCATGGTGGCTTTCCTAGCCAGGAACCTCCCAGGGGCTTTCAACGAAGCCAAGCTGATCACCTTCAGCATGCTTGTCTTCTGCAGTGTTTGGGTATCCTTCGTGCCTACCTACCTGAGCACCAAATGGAAATATATGGTGGCTGTGCAGATCTTCTCCATCTTGGCTTCCAATGCTGGCCTGCTAGGCTGCATCTTCATCCCCAAGTGCTATATTATCATTCTGAAACCAAATCTGAATACAAAAGAACATTTGATGTTAAAATAAAACAGTAACTATTACAAATTACTTCTTAACAATGTCATTTGATAAATCCAAGTGAAGCATAACCTTATTTGACTGAAAGTAAATAAATAATGGGTTTCAATATGTAATTTTGCATCTGCTTTCTTAGAATTATTGTGTGTCTCTACATCTCAATGCATATATTTCTTTAATTTAGGGGTCATTCATCTTTTGAATTGTTACTATTTGCATTATGTTTAATAAAAGCCTTATTAATTGAAGAAATATACAATCAAGGTTTCTTCTAGCTTCACAAAGACTAGTGATTTTCTCAATCCAAGAACAGGCTATTTGTTGTTGTTTTATGGAAGGAGACGGATTGTCCTTGAACTAACCAAGGCCAACAATGAGACATCTCATGCTAAGCAACCTTCGCTTTCTCTTCAGTTTTGCTGATTTTTAAAAGGGATAAAAAGGAATAAAATTAACAAGAAATGTGTTTGATGATCCCCAATTTGTCAGCATAGTTAGTGTTAGGAATATAAGTCACCTAACAGGTATTTGGGTTAGAAATATATAAGCCAGGATAGATATTTTAGTACTATGTCTTTAAGAGATTGCAAAAACTGCAATTGGGTGTGGTTTCTCAAATGGCCATAAGATGGAGCCAGAAACCTGGGTTGTTTAGTCTGAATCTCAGAAGAGAGTGTGAGTGTATCTCTGTTTTCCTTCTGTTGGAAAGTATTGCCGTTGCTCCATTTTTCCTAATTGACTGCTATTTCTGGATTTAATGTAAGTCTAATACTGAACTGTTTTTGACACTGGACTTTCTAATTGGATTATCCCTGGATTGAAAAAACTGACTGATTTACCTGTGAATGACTTTGGATTGCTTGTTTGGACTTTGCTTAACATTTCTGGAAGTAAAAACCTACATTTACTGTACAGTGTATCTGTGTGCTCTGTGTGTATTATTCCAAGACTACTCTCTATACGTCTCCCTGTATGCACTCATTCTCCTAACGGGGAATTACCTCAACAGTTAGAAGGCAGTATTTCAGGCTAACTCACTGCTTACTCCAGGAGTTCAAGCCTGACCAGCTCAAGGTTGACTCAGCCTCCCATCCTTCTGAGGTCAGTAAAATAAGAACCCAGATTGTTGGGGGCAATATGCTGACTCTGTAAACTGCTTAGAGAGGGCTGCAAAGCACTGTGAAGCAGTATACAGGTTTAAGTGCTAGCGTTATTCAAAACAACAGCTCCTGGCTTCCTCCGTTGCTCATCCTTCTCTGCTAACTAAACCAATGTAGCTCTAATCCACTAAAAATCTAATCTACAGAGATTACAGCCAAGAAGAGAAAGTTCCAAGACCAGTGGTGGGATTCCAACTTTGTTCCTACTGGTCTGGGGTGGGATTCAAATTTTTTTCTTACTGGTTCTGTGGGCTTGGCTTGGTGGGCATGGCAAGGGGAGGATACTGTAAAATCTCCAGTCAGAGGTGGTAATCAGATATGGATCTCCCCTCTGCCATGTGAATCAGCTGAGCTAAAAAAACAACAAGGAAATATATGACAGGAAAGGGCGGGGGTGGGTGGGCAGGGCCAGCCAGAAGTGGCATTTGTCGGTTCTCCAAACTATTCAAAAACTAGAACCTGTCTGAACCTGCTGAATACCACCTGTGTCCAAGACTCACTAGAGTGCTGGAAAGGTCATAAGAAAATCTCAAATAATTAAGAACAACAAGCAGAGGGATGGTTCAGGTTGAGACTTGAGACTTTCAAGAAGAGATTGGACTGCCATTTGTCAGAATGGGAAAAGGGATTGGACTAGATGACCTACAAGGTCCCTTCCAACTCTGATTATCTGTTATCAGGTTTTATTTTATGAGAAAAGAGGAGACTATCCTCCAGTGAAAAAATAACAATAGTGTCACGACTCCAACAATGATTGATATGGAGCTGAGACAACTGAGGCTCAATACGCCAGCACTCACACCTCCCTTACCTCGAGGAATGAACTTGGCTGTGTCGGCATTTTGCTGAGACATTCCAATGCTTAGTAAGTTCTGATGACTTCCTGAAACATGATTAGATGACGTCAATGCCCTGGGCAGGAGTTGTGCATCAGTGAAGAATCTCGGCTAAAGACTGCAACGATTAGAAGTCATGGGGGAGGGGTGATGTAAATAGGTGGTGCAATAGGCACAGAAGGGGGTGAGTTGGTGACGAGGGTATATGGAGTTGCTGATAAGGGGCTGGGAGTTATTATTGTGTTTAATTTCAATATTCTGGATGTTAGGCAGCAATGGTGGCCAGAAGGTAGCTATAACTATGTTGTAATTACATTGTCAGGCATCCAGAAAGTATTCATGATATCAATCACTCCGAGACAATTATCTCTCCAATTGATTTATTAGAAACAGATCTGGCATGTCAAAAGCAATTTCCCAAGTGAAAGGTTTTTTTGCGCGTTACACAGAATCCACCTTCTCTCCTCCCACTTCTACACTTCATAAATCACGAGAACCAATTAACTGCAACTGGAAATTCTTAATACGACATACAGAATAACCTTGAACTTTTCAACTCCTCTAACTCTCTAAAAAAAATGTGGCAGCTGGATTTCAAAGCTGACAGGCATCCCCCCCCCCCTTGAAAACTTTTCCTCCTAAAAGAAAAGAAAAAAAACACATATAGGGGTTAATACATTGTCCTTAACCCCCTCTCCCCCCCCCCCCACGAGGACCCTTCGGTTTGTGGGG